CTAATAAATGGAAACACTACGTTTGTTTACTTTATTATTTTTATAATCAGTCCTGTGACACTAATCAGTTAAGTTGAATAACCTAGATAATAATGAGAAATCATAACAGTAATATTTTAAAAACTTGGATAGTTGTAATAATGAAAAACAGTAATAATTGGAAACACTACGTTTGTTTACTTTATTATTTTTATAATCAGTCCTGTGACACTAATCAGTTAAGTTGAATAACCTAGATAATAATGAGAAATCATAACAGTAATATTTTAAACACTTGGATAGTTGGAATAATCAAAAACACTAATAAATGGAAACACTACATTTGTTTACTTTATTATTTTTATAATCAGTCCTGTGACACTAATCAGTTAAGTTGAATAACCTAGATAATAATGAGAAATCATAACAGTAATATTTTAAACACTTGGATAGTTGGAATAATTGAAAATGCTAATTTTGATACTTTTTTTAAATTAATTAACTTAATCATAATTTTGATCAATTGATTATTTAAAGTGGCACTCACCAATGTTAGTAGATAATCAATTATATCAATTAATCAAGTTAATTGCACAGTTATAGTATAGTTTCTGGTTTGTGCTAACTGTTGTAAATCCAGTGTGCTAGCTTGTGTGTGTTTGTGGGATTGAGGATGAACATGCTTTTGAGTGGGAGGGATGCAGTAAGGATAGCATATGTAATTATTTTGCTTGTATTTGAGCACTGCTAAAGCACTCTGTTATTTGCCTATGAGCCCTAGCTTTAAGTCTTGAATAAGATAGAATGTTTAATATCTTGAAAAGTTAGACAACAGATTTCAGCTTTGCTAGAAATATATAAAAAACTTATGATCTATACAGAGCAATTTTCAATGTGCAACAAGTGCTATAATTAATTTCATTAACATTTAAATATGAGGTATTGGGGAGAGTAATTAAATATAAAAATATATATTTAAGCTTTTCTGACTTGCCTAATAATATGAGATTTTGCCTTCGCAATATTGTTGTTTTGCAACTTTGAAATGAATATTTTACCTAAACGTATAATTTTTATTTTGTTTCATCAGTGGCTCCGAAGATTTTGACTCCGATGACAGAGGTAAAAGTAAAGGTTGGCCGTACCCTTCACTCAGAAATCAAGTTTATTGGTCAGCCAGCTCCTGAAGTTCTTTGGATGCAGAATGGAAAGAAGCTAACATCTGATGATAGGATTACCATTTCTGCTTTTGATGACTACACTGTTGTCAATGTAGTAGATGCCAAGCGATCCGACAGTGGACCTTATGTTCTAACTGTTACAAATGACAGTGGAAAAGATAGTGGCACATTAACTGTCATAATTCTTGGTATGTGGGTTGACTACCATTTTTATTGTGGAAAAACATCATTTATAGATCTATACTTGATACAAGTTTGTGGTGTTGACAGTCACATGGCTTTGTTGTACATTAGGCTATTATATGAGTGGAATAACTTTGTTTTCTTAGTTTATTACTTTACCAGTTCTACATAATATTTCTAATGAATTCTAAAGTTTTATAAAACCTGTTTGTACATAACAAATATAAACAGGTTTCCAATATCACCTTCAAAATATTAATTTAATAATATTAAGTGATACTATTTATTATTCTAATGATTTAATATCAGAACTCCCACCAAACATGATTTAAACAACTGTAATTTTGTAAATGATATTATTCAACAAAAGATTATCCCAGAAATATTTTTTAGATCATTATTTTGTAAAACAGAATGTTTGTTTTTTACATTAAATATGTTGAATAATTATTTTTACAAATGCTATAATCATTTAGTCGCTCTTTACGTATATGTAAACAGAGTAAATTTGTTTAACCCTTTGAATGCATAATTAAATTTCAGGAGGGTTCTCAAAAGGTGTCAGTAACCCACCTTTTTTTTAGTACTTATTCAATATCAATATCTATTAGTTGCACTTTTGTTCGGTGATATACACATGCGGTACTAAGGTGTGAAATTCAAGGACTTGTGAGTATTCCGATTATCACACTATGAATAAAAGTTATTGTGACACCGTGAGGTACATCCACTTGCCGCACCAAACAGCTATAAATGTCGAGTCAGATAAATCCGATGATAGCATCGTAAGGGTTTAAGAAACAGTGGTGGTTAAAGAGGACTTTGTATTCCTTCATCTTTCATCTTGATGATGACATATACTTTCACTAGTTCTGTTTGAAGATTCTAATTACTAAAAATGTTTCTTCTTTTTTGTTATAGATAAACCATTAGCACCTGAAGGTCCTCTCAATGTTGATGAGGTTGATAAGGATCATGTAGTTTTATCGTGGAAACCACCTAAAGATGTTGGAGGCAGTGATTTAACGTAAGTATGTGTGATGCAGGTAAATTGGATGTTGGATGTTTTAAAAAATGTTTTTAAATGTCTCAACAAATTATTGCTTAATAAACATGTAATATGTTTAGTGTTATACTGCAAGCTACTCAGTTTAACATAGTAGACATTTTACTCTTACATCTCAAGGTGTAAATGAACTTACACCTTTTTTCTTTTAGTTTTTTGTCATAAAAGTTTATTGTATTTGGACATCATATTCATTGCTGGAGCTGCATACTACAATGAAGCTACTATTGTCATCATGCCATCACGATGTTTATTCAAGATAGTAGTTCTTCAAACATCTACAGACACTTGGATCAAGATTGTAATGGAGTGGCTGACGAAAGTAACCTCATCTTAGTATGTAGCTTCAACAGTGAACAATATTTCCAAATAAAAGAAACTTTTGTGATAAAAAAACTCAAACCTGTATTGAACTCAAATGCATCAGCTATAGAAGTTCATTAAGAAAATATAATTCCCTCCGTGTTTTTACTCTCTACATGCTTACTACTTGTTTTAGATAACTGTACTTTCCAATGTTTATATACATAAATTTTATATCTAAAGTTTATGTAATGTAAAATTATGTTGGTGCCATAAATGTATTTGACAGTTTGTAAAGGTTAAAGACAGCATTTGCATATTAATGTTGACTGTAATTGAATAAATTATAATTCATATACTGTAGTTTTAGTTCCAATTTAGAAATATTAAGGATTGTTCAACTTAATTATTTTTTATAATATGAATTGTATAATGAAGCAATCTGTTAATGAATTAGTTCTAGGAAAGTAACACGTGTATTTTACATTGAAAGCGAATGTGTCATTTTTTGTGACCACCAATAAGTATACAGTGCAATTAAATGTTGATTTAATTACTTAACAGTGGTTACATTGTGGAGAAGCGGGACAAAACACGAGATGGGACCTGGGTTCCTGCTGTGCTTCATGTTCCACCTAACTCCACGAAATGTACCGTTCCCAAATTAATGGAAGGCACAGCGTATGAGTTCCGTGTAATGGCAGAAAACCCTCAGGGAGTGTCTGAACCACTGACCACCACCAAGCCTATCACTGCCAAAAGTCCTTATGGTAAAAAATATGTTGATCATTTTTGTTATATTGTTTGAAGTTTGAAGATAAAGACCGTTATTATGATTAATTTTTAATTTTGTTAAAAGACTTTCAGAATAATTTGATTTGTCTAGAGACAATTAGTTTTGGATAACTGGTCAGTGAATTTTGTAATAAATCTCATGGTATTTGTATTAATCATTGTACTTTTATCACATGTATATTATTCATCATTCTGCATTTATGACATAATTTTCATTAGATAAATGATGGTAAAATTTTGGGCAATGAACACGTGTTTGTCAATAGTAGCTATAAAAAAACTATCTATATCGCAGCTATATGTGTATTTACAATCCATAGGTGTACCAGGCACACCAGGCCAACCTCAGCCAGTGGATCATGACCGAGACTTTATCAAAATTAAGTGGACTCCTCCAAGATCCGATGGTGGCTCTCCTATCCAAGGCTATGACATTGAAAGGAGGGACACTAAAGCTAACAGATGGGTACGAATTACTAAAACACCAGTTAGGGTAAGTTTCATATCATTAACATGTTACTGTATGTTGCTATTTATTTGTAAACGGTCTTTGAACAGTTATTAATGTATTTAATTTTATAATGTAGAATGTTTTCAGTTTTTGATTATAAGCTGAAAACTAAAACTGATAAAAAAAAAGTAGATATTAAATGCAATTTTATTTAATTTTCTAAACAGGATAATCACAGAAAACCATAACATATATATATACATGTATTATGAAAATAATTTATTAGTAATAAAACTTAGAACCAACTGTTCATTTGAAATTTTATTAGCCATGTGAATTTAAATTTACCTGAAAACCAAAAATGATCATATTTTGTTTATGAAGGAATGTGTTTTATATAAATTTAGGTGTTTGCAAAATGGATTTTTTTTTTATTTCTACAGGGAACAGAATATAATGATGATACAGTGACTGATGGACATCAGTATGAGTACAGAGTCATAGCAAAGAATGCAGCTGGTCCTAGTGAACCAAGTCAGGCTTCCAAACCTATTGCTGCAAAGCCTATGAAAGGTATATATTATGAATAAGCTCAAGTTGCTCTTCTTAGTGTTTAGCTCTTTTAAGAATATTACTGTATGCATATTGAAGAACATACTGCATTGTGGAGAGTGATTAAGCTTTTGCATTATCTTTAACATCAAAAGATATTTGTCATAAGTATGATTATTATTTTGGAAATGACTTTATGTTAAGGTAAACATACTTTTTTATTTTAAGAGTAAATTAACATGCTTGTAAAGTGGATCATCAAAATGTCACAGAGAAAAATCTATTTTGTCTATTACAGAGAAACCAAAACTGCATCTGGATAGTGGCCGTAATATTCGGGTCAGAGCAGGGGAACCATTGAATGTCAGTATACCCATGACTGGAGCCCCAGAACCAGCTGTAAAATGGACCATTAATGACAAGCCAATACCAGTAACTAATCGCATCATAACAGAAAGTGGTGATGAGAATGTGAGCCTAAGTATTCCTGTTTCTCAGAGAGGTGACAGTGGCAAATATACTATTACTGCTAAAAACCCATATGGTGAAGACTCAGCTGATATAAATGTACTTGTATATGGTAAGTCTCAATTATAATTTTTTGGCAGGAATTTGAGTACATTTCTCCAGCAGTATCTTTTTTGGTTTTAGTATCTACTGGAATGCAGGTTTTGACTTTATCTTATAATGTAATTATTCTAATCCTTGTTTACTTGTTCCCACTTTGTTCTATAAATTAAATCTTGGCTGAGAAATTTAATTATTTATTTACACATAACATCTGATATCTTGTGATTGGTCTGTCCTGCCTCAATTGATTTTTGGTTCTGCCCCTCTTTACTATGGAGTCTTTTTTCACCCTTTTTTTTTGTCCAGCTCTTTGGATGACCAAGGTAAATGTCACGAATGCTTATCTGTCGAGGTGCTATCTTCGGTTTGTTCATCATGGGGTAGTGTATAAATTTTGCACCCTGCTCTAGTTGGAGAAGTCATTTCTTTTACCCACTCAATATCTTGTCCAGTTGGGTGTCTTTTTCAACACTCATCTCAGTCCAGTTCTCTATGCCCTCACTGCTCCATATATTACTGTTTGCAAGGTTCTGTTGATTTGGGGATGTGGTCTTCTATGAAAGCTCTTATCCTCTTAGGTCGTGTGTATATGAGGACTCTTCAGTGGGCTTTGCACGACCAGTGGAACTTTGCACAGGATCCCTTGGAGGCTCCTGTTCCCTTTCCTTCTTCCCTTGTCGATGATCTGCATTGGTGGTTGGACATGAACCTCACATCGGCAGGTGTTTCACTTCCTCCCCTCGTCTGGATTTGCGTATCTTCACAGACATTTCCTTCCATGCCTGGGGTTGTGGGTCGATCAGCAGGAAGCTGATGTGGGTCATGGTGGAGGAATTTGCAGGTTACTATGGTTCTTTCTTTTGCACTATCCCTCGAAGATTTAAATATACCAAGGATGTTACTGCGCTGGGGGTGGTTCCTGTCTGATTGGTTTTCACAATACAGGGACATCTTTATTGTACCATTCATCCAGATGTCGGATTTCCAGATTCGTACAATATTTTCTCACTTTGCCCTGTTCACAGATTGGTGGGTATGATATATTATTTTGGTCTTCTGAACTTGAGGTGAAGATGGTATGATCCTCTTTCATATCCCCCACATGTATGTCAATTCCTGGTAGCTGGGTTTTGGATGCAGTTGACCTGCCATGTATGGTCTGTCATGCCCTATCCACTCTACACCTTGGGAACATCCTTTTTACTCTCACCCACATTACTCTCATCTAAGGGATTGAAATTCAGAATTGGGTGGTTCGGTCCCTATCCAATCATTGTTCTCTCCCTTTTGGATGTGCTCCTCCCAATTTCCACCCATGTTTGCATCACCTCTTTTCACACTGAGTGAAGAATATAACTGGTACAGTTATACGGTCTCCCACATTTTATCCTCTACTGCGAGGGTGTTCTTCAAATGCTTTCAAAGAATGCTTCTCTCTCTCTCGAATCCCCCTCCCACCAAACATGCTCGCCCTTTCAGCCATGGGGATGTTATAATGTGATGGTCAATCCCACTATTCTTTGGTAAAGAGTAGCCCAAGAGTTGGCGGTGGGTGGTAATGACTAGCTGCCTTCCCTCTAGTCTTACACTGCTAAATTAGGGACGGCTAGCACAGATAGCTCTCATGTAGCTTTGCGCAAAATTAAAAATAAACAAACAAACAAGCTTCTCTCTTTCCCTCCACCTATTCAATGTGGGATTCGAACTATTTAGGTGAGCGGAGGTAAGGTACTATATTAGAAGTGGTAGAATTGAAGAGGAAGTTACATGTGTAAGGAGGGTGTGTTGCACTCCTATTGGTGGAGGATTGTTGCATGACTATTCAGTGTGGGATTCGAACTATTTAGGTGAGCGGAGGTAAGGTACTATATTAGAAGTGGTAGAATTGAAGAAGGAAGTTACATGTGTAAGGAGGGTGTGTTGCACTCCTATTGGTGGAGGGTTGTTGCATGATGATTGTGGGATAAATAGGAGCTCAAGGCTTGTGGCATGCAAAAAATTTTTTTGCATATAGAGGGCAGCATTGAACAAGAATAGCTATTTATGTGAGAGAAGTAAGTAGTTATCAGAAGTACATTTGCAGTATAGGAAAAGCCTAACTTACACAGCATTTCTTTAGCATAGAAGAGTAACTCTAAATTATTATTTCTTCAAGATTAACATTACCACAACAGCCAATGATTCTGATTCACATATTTGAACATAAAGGAACAGTGTATCCTCCTTATATGTCGTTGTGATGTACGTTGTTTCATACTTACGTTGCTGACTTTTTGAGGAATGCAACATAAAATTTCTCAGCACATATGTCATTCATAGTTTTTGACTCGGTTCAGCTTAACTCTCTCAATATAGGCTCGGTCAATTTAACTGACCACATGATATCTTTGTACTCGTTTAAAGTCTTTATAGATTTAATATTTCTCACTTTCAATATAGTGTGTATATCTTCACAAAATTTGGCAGTGTTTCAGTTAAAGTTATAGGTCTTTCACTTACAAAAAAATCATATTTTTTTATTCTCAATGACACTTAACCCTACTTTTTTATGCTAATGGTAGTATTGCACTAATTAATTTTTATTTGATTAAATAATGCACCAAAGAACACAGAGTAATAACATGCAAGTAGGAAAGCACACAACCCTGGACTCTTTATTTAAAAAACACAGCAAAGGAACCCAAAGCAGGCCCTTCTGGCACTCAAGTGAACAAAAATCCTGAGCCTACATCTTCTATAAAGATAAGTATGGTGGATGTCAGTGATGTTGATGACCTTACAGCTGCATCTCTATTCTCATCCTCTCCCAACACCTTCTTCAATCAAGCACAACTCCCCAAGATATTAACATAAAAATTAAAGGTTATGGTAAAATCTTTTTAAAATACTGTGTAATATTCTGTGATTTTTTTTCTCACAAAAAAGTGGTTTTCTGTTTGAGTCATTGCTTAAAAATGTCACAAATATGTTTTATATTAAAAAAAGGATAATGTTTTAAGGTGTACAGAGCTGTTTCAAAATGCTCATAAAAATGGTTTTCAATGAAGTATTTGGAAAATACTTTGTTTGTAGGTCCTTGAACTCAGAATTAGTTATAAATATGTGTACTACATTATGTTTTGTATAGTATAGTACAGTATGTATTTTGGTTGCTAGATATAAAACACATTTTCTTAAGTTATGGACCCTATTCAGTACCATATTTCATTGTTTTTTATAGCAGAAATTGCTCCACTTTGTGTTACATAGGCAGTGTTTATGCTTTTAAGGTCCTTATCCCCCCCCATTTCCCATTATTTTTATGGGGGAAAATTCCCCATTATACATCGTTTCATTATAAGTTTCAAATTTCCTGTCCCTAACTCCGATGTGTAATGAGCCTGTAAATTTTACTATTTTCCCCAGTTGATTTTTACATATAAACAGTTGACTCATTTCAAGGCTTTTTAAATATTTTATCATCTCCAGCATTAAAAGGCTTGAGCAATTTGAAACATTCTGTCATTTATTAAAAGTGGATGAGTATTTAATGTTGATGATAACTGCTTCTTCTATTAAATGAAGACAAACCAAGCTCACCACGTGGACCACTTGAATATCCTTCCACTACAAACTCTAGTGTAACTCTGCAATGGAAATCCCCAGAAGATGATGGTGGCTCTGCAATTACTGGTAAAAACTTATTAAGTAGGAAAAATTGTAGTTTACAAAAATTAATTTCCTTTAATTTAATTTAATTATAGGGATGTCTTAATGAAATAGTAGTACTTAAAAGTTTTGTAAGTATTTGATTTTAGATTTTCTGATGCATGCTGGATTATCCACAAGTGTTTTGTGTTTCAAACTTACATAAAGAAATACAAAATGTATCTGAACAAATCTGAATATGGCTTCATATGAATTGTTGAACAATATGAAAGACATAATATTCAGAACAATGATTAGTTAGTTTTTATGTGGTCTCAGTTTTAACTAAACATTGAATGTATTTTCATTCTAAAGGATACCAGATTGAGAAATGTGAATTTGGCAGTGATAGATGGCTTCCAGTACCAGGGTACTGCCCCACCACAACCTATACTGTTAGAAACTTGGAAGAAGGAAAGCAATACAAGTTCAGAGTGTCTGCAGAAAACATGTATGGCGTCAGTGAACCTCTGGAGGGAAAACCTGTTACTGTCAAAAACCCATTTGGTATGTATCAACTAAAAATATGATACTGTGGTACTTTTTTTTTCTGTGTAAGCAGGCAAGCATGTAATGGACTTAACAAAGTGCCTCTACAACCAGGGTTAAACAAAAACAATTTATTAAATATGACAACAGAAATCCAAAGAAAAAATTTCAAACAATTAGAATACAAATTTTATCACTTAAAAAAACAAAACCAAAACCAATTAGTAAACACATGTCTGACCAGGACTAGGTGCAAACACTAATAAACAATACAACATAAACATCAGTGTTATTAATTTCAATAAATATCAAAGAAACTAGGAAAAAGAACCAGAAGAAGGAAAAACCTAATTCACCAGAGAATAACACAATATTTCAAAATTAAACCACTTCTCAATATCAATCACAATATTGAGTGATAATTAGCAATAATTCTTTCATCAAACTACTTCTCATGAACTAGCCGGTTTTCAAAATAAAGGAGGGCTTTTTATACAGTGGTTAGACCTCAAGGTTACATCTCATGTGACTAGCTATTACCATAAATCAGGACGTTAGTATAAAGATTATAATTATCTACCTGTTAAATCTGTAATTATTTGTGTTTTACTTTAAAAACATAATCCAGAGTTTGGGTTACACATAGTAATGAACACATCTTTAATTATCATGAATGTTAATATATTTATTAAAAAGTTTATAATTTTTTCATGACTGCAATTTAATTAGGGTACATATACTCTGCATTAATGCTTCTAGAACAAGAATTGTTCAACAGGTTTTAAGTTGTAAGAACTTTTATTTTAAGAGGTCAAAAATTAATAAGCCGTTTCATGAATTTCAGATACTCCTGATGCACCAAGTCAACCAAAGGTTACTGACTTTGGTCCATCCTTTGCAGACATAACATGGAAGCCACCTACTAATGATGGCGGACGACCAGTTACTGGTTAGTATGATAATAGGTTGTACGTGTCACAAATAAGAGACAAGAGTTAATTAAAGTACTTAGTATCCTGAATATAGCTCAGTTAGTTTAATGCACAGGAAAGAAGAAGATTACTTACTGATCAGTTTTCAGTTATCTGAAGTATGTTTTATTAAATTACTAAGTTTTCTTGAATTATGTGTGTTATTTTTGATATATTGAAAATAAAAAAAATGTTAATATCTTTTGCCCTAAAAATATTACATGTCATTATTGCTAAAAAGTAATGTGTAAAGAAATAACCTTTAACAAGTTCATCAGATTTAGGTGTTTATAGAGCATTTCACATATCATGATGACAAATTAAACAATGCAAAATCAATATTGCTTAGACTTTTTAATTAACCAGAAGATTACAACATTAACTTCTTTATTTAACATTTGTAATGTAAATCCATGATAATGCTTTTCTGAAGACACCTGATTTTCACTTTGAAAGGTTATATTGTTGAGAAGAGAGAAAAAGGTTCACCTGAATGGACTCCAGTCAATACACACCCTACTCCAAGTACAGATTTTACTGTACCTAACTTAACAGAAGGGCAAACTTATGAGTTCAGGATTGTACCTGTTAATGAAGGAGGTCGAGGCAAGCCCAGTAGACCCAGCCAACCTGTTACAGCTCAGGAAAGAAAATGTAAGAAGATCAGTATTTTATTGAGTTTTGTATTCCATTAATGATTAAATTGTGAAAAAACCTTTAAACTTGTTCACATATATGTAAATTTTCATGTTTTCTTGTAACATAAGAATTACAATGCTCCTGTCACTTTGTCATGCCTACTTTTGTTTTTAATAGTGGTTAGGATTCTTTACTTGTCATGGGATCAAAACCTGGCAGTGAACATACCCACCCTTTTAGCTATGGGGGGTATTATATTGCAACAGTCAATCCCACTGTATGTTGGTTAAAAATAGCCCAGGAGTTTGCAATGGTTGCTTCTGGCTGTTTTTTTTTCATCTGGTCAGCAGTTGACAATTAGGGACAGCAGCAGATAACCTTAGTAACTTTGTCATAAAAAAAACTAAATTGGAAGAATATTGACTAAAGGGTTTCCCATTTGGCTACTTAGAGCTTAATCTGTTTGGTGAATCATTACTTTTGAAGAACAACTTCCAACAAGTGTAATATATGTAAATTCTCCTGATCTTTTTGCTTTATAGTATTCAGTGATTTGTTTCACTGATGGTTTTCTCACTTGTTGTTTGGATATTATTTTCATAAAAAGTATTTAGTGAATACTTGCACAAGGTTTGCCAAAATTTTAATTTTTAAATGGTTGTTTCTTTTCCTTTTCTATCTGTAAAAATCAAATTTGGGACTTTATTTGTGTTTTCTGTCTGTCTTTCTGTATAATAGATGTTGCAGATGCTCCAGATATGCCTCGTGTGGATAAAGTCACAAAGAATTCTGTAACTCTCGCCTGGAAAAAGCCAGCTAATGATGGAGGGAGTAAGATAAAAGGATATCTTGTAGAAAAGAAGCCTAAGGGTGCCAAAGACTGGGATATTGTTAACACAATCCCACATCCTGACACCACATACACTGTAAGTATAACAATGCAGTAAAGATTCTTGATTTCTAATATTTTACATTTGTTAATGATTGTTTAGTTTAGGTGTTATTTTTTAGTATTTTGTGACTGAATATCTAAAGATTGGTTAGTTTTTAAGACTGGAGTGTTGAAGATGGATTGTTTTAAAAGTGTTAGTTGTGACAAATTTTGTTACGTAACTCTGTATGAGTTGTACGTTGTGTTTGCAATAACATTGTTGTTTAGGCTTTACTAATATTGTTGACATTACATTACTCTATATTCTATTTCTCTCATTACCTTTATTGAGTATTGTTACATTATAGCGCCACTCATGTAGCTTAGAGTAAGTTTGAGGCCTCAGTGTACAACGTATCAATATAGGCTACCAAGTGAGTAAAAGTTAAGAAATATAGTAAAAGTCAAGTGCAGTTCAGTCAGAAAATTAGTTAGCAAAATAAAACATGAAATTAGCCAGCGTGTGAGTGATTAACCATAACGGGCAATATTTTAAAGTGAGTTTCACAGTTTAATAGAGATAAGGAGAATAATCAGCCTTGTCAAAGGGTATTCTAAAGTAATTGAACCCGTCTGTGTGGACTTTGACGAAAAGGAGACAATTATTTAAAATTAAGGATACAGCTGTAGTAACCCCCGGGGGAGCATAAGTGAATTATTTACTGATACTATTGCAATAAGGGTAGAGAAAAATAGTTTGCCTTGTCAATTGGATTCTAAAGTAATTTAGTCAGTCTAATTGGAAAATTTGTCAGTCATGAAGTTAGCCAGTGAGTGATTAGCCATAATGGGTGATATTTTGAAGTGAGTTTCACAGTTTAATTGAGATGGAGAACAGTTGGTCATGTCAAAGGGTGTTCTAAAGTAATTGAACCTGCCTGTGTGGACTTTGACGAAAAGGAGACAATTATGTAAAGCTCAGGATAAAACTGTGATAACCCATGATGTAGCATAAGTGAATTATTCACTGATACTATTGAAATAAGAGTAGAGAAAAACAGTTCCTCTAGTCAGTTGGATTCAAAAATAATTTTTGTGATTTTACAAAGATCTGAATTTGTTATTATTGGAGCTTGGATATTTGAAAATTTTACTAAGAACTGTGAAATGTTTGTACATGTGATAAGATATCTTACATATAAAGTCTCTTAAAAGTTGCAGACTATTATTTATTAAAAATCAACATGAAATTAACTCCATGGCAAGAAAAGGAAAATTGAAGTAATTGTGTTAAGATTTCAAGCAAAGTTTCTAAAATTAGGCTTATTGAATTAATTTCCTTTTTACATTATTTAAGTGATTGCCAAATGCCTAGCTATGCATTTTATTTACAGGTACCAAATTTGACAGAAGGTCAAGAATACGAGTTCCGTGTAATAGCAGTCAATGATGTAGGAGACAGTCCACCAAGCCATCCTTGTCCAATGGTATTAGTAGAAGACCAACCAGGTATAGTAAGAATTTTCACCATTACTTTGCAACATAATCTTGGTACTTCAATAATATATATATATTTACTTTTTAGTTGTTTGCTATCAGTAGTTTATGTTGCAGTAAGGTCTGTTGCTAAAGCATTGCAGCAATATGTGCTGATCATGTGACTACCCTCCACCAATTATATTGTGCAATCTATACTAGCACAGGCAGCTCCCTCTACCACTCTTAATGTTCATTTATTTGAATTATTTTTGTTACTACTTTACTGATTTCTGTTTAATTTTAGAATCCTAAATGTTTTATTTGCTAAGAATTGTAATGCTTAATACTGTTTTGATTATGCCAAAATATACATGGGACTGTTAATGTATTACTTATCAGTATTGTTATGTCTGTAGACAAACCACGAATTGATGCAGGAAATGTCAGAGATATTGTCATCAAAGCAGGCCAAGAGTTTAACATCAATGTTCCATTCAGTGGTTTCCCAAAACCCACTGCCACCTGGTCTAAAAATGACTTTGAAGTTAATGAAAAGGATCCCAGGATTTTCAATAAGGTGAATAACTTAATGTGGTTGGGTTCTTCTAGAAAGCTCATCTATGATGACATTTATTTCTTGTCATAATTGTTATTCAGATAAATATTCACTTTTTAGTTTTGTTATCTATTTTGTTTCCTATTTGTGAGAAATCTTTTGTAATTTTGATTTCTTTTAAATCAGTACACCGTTGCTTAAAAACTCCTACTATTCAGTCAGGCATAATGTACAGAAGGTACAAAATGTTGTTTATTTTGTAAAGAAAACATAAGGGTGACAATAATAATCTTCACATTAGTCACATTTTAAAAAACTAGATTTTTCTAATAAATACTTGTATTTCATTTGTGTAATATTCATATAAAATTACTTTCACACATCATGATACATTAGAAAACTTACAATTTCAAAGCTGTGTGTAAGTTATCAATTTATATGAAATATTTTTGTATTGTTTTGCATTTACAAATTTTTTTGAAATGTAATTTTTTTTTTTTATGTAGCATTTTTCTCACTATTTATATCATAGGTGGGAGATGACTATGCTGTTCTAGCTTTGTCAGATGCCAAGCGATCAGATTCTGGACAGTACAAATTGTTCTTGAAAAATAAGTCAGGATTTGACACTGCTTATTGTAAAGTCACTGTTCTTGGTAAGTGTAATTTACTTTGCTAAATGGACTGTGTTTGGCGTACTATAACAAACTGTAGATTCGAAGGTTTATGGTTTACATTCTTTTTCCCAACAGTGGTCAAATCCCACCATTTGATGAGACAAGAATGACCTAAGAGTTTACAGTGGGTTATGTTTACTAGTTGTCTTCTCTTTAGCCTGTCAGTTGAAAATTAGGAATGGCTATGTGCAGGTAGTCATTATATAGCTTTGCCCAAAACATATACTCATAAGTTATGATGCTTCTAAAGTTAGTTAGTTCTCCTGTAATAATAACAGCTCTGACTAAATAGGTATTTTGCCAGTAGGTTGAATAATATAGAAATATAATGTATAATCATTATGTACTATTTTCTAGCATTTTGTCATTTCTTACTTTATGTGAAATTGTCACATTAGAAGATATTAAAGATGTTTTTGAGTTCACACGATCCCTTTTTATATTCTCTTAAGTTAATGAAAATCTGAATATTTGACCTTGTGTTGCTTTTAGTTGTTCAATTTTTGATCTGGTCATGAATATGTTAAACATCAGCTGTTCTACTGTGGTAGTTTCATATTCAAACCCAAGACCTCTCACACACCAGGTGAGTTGTGCCTTACCAACAGAGCTAGAGGGTTAACCCACTAGTGTTTGCTAGTAAGGCACTAGTTAACAACTCAAACTTTCACACATTCTTCCTCTCTCACAAAGAAGGCTCGTTCTCGGGTCTTATCTCAGATATGTGGAATGGCCCCACATTAAGAGGACATTGTCTTTTGGTTATTTAATTTTGATTTTATTATTGCATTGCTTGAATTTGAACCCATGATCTTTTACACAACAGGTGAGTGTTTTACGAACTGAGTTAAAGTGTTAACCCACTAGTGCTTGCTAGTAAAGTATTTTTAATAACTCATAAACCATTTGTGTGTAAAAGACACTACAAAAGCATTTACTGAGCATATAGCTAGTATATTCTACTCTATACTGTATTAAGAAACTAACTCTCCTACTGTACTAGTAGGCCTTAAGGAAGAGTGATGTCTTGTAGTATGTTGAGATTAAAATTTAATATTACAAAAATGTTAAGAAGCAATTGTTATTTTACACTGGAAAGTGATAGCATTTTAGGAGAAGTTTAGAGGTTAGAATAGTGGGGTTTTATGGGACACTAAAGTTGGAGAAGAACTGTAAATCAGACTGTGTGAAAATAATAAAAAGTGTAATGGGGTTTTATGTTCAATATGAGTCTGAATAAGTATATGTGCTGACATAACATATTTTACACTGAAAGAAAGTCCAGTAGTGATGGCATTTAAAATAGAACGTCATGGATCAATTAAGTCTTACTCTGTTTTATATCAGTCAGAATATTATTTTTTGGCTATATGTTTTGATTTCCTCATATAAATAAAGTGTAGGTATCAATTGTTTCTATTTATGTAATTTTTAGATCATCCTGGACCTCCAGAAAATCTCAGAGGTGAAGACATTGAAGGAGAATCCCTAACGTTGAAATGGCTTCCACCAAAAGATAATGGTGGCTCTGAAATAACGAACTATATGGTTGAGAAGAAAGAAGTTGGGGCCACTGCTTGGACAAGAGTTAGTAGTTATGTGACAACCACAGCCTGTAGAGTAAGAAACCTTATGGTAGGCCACAAGTATGACTTCCGAGTCATGGCTGAAAACCAGTATGGAACCAGTGACCCAGCCGTCACGAGTGAGCCCATCATGGCAAAACTACCTTTCAGTAAGTGTGTTAAATATTCTTAAATTGTAAAAATGCCTAAGCTGATAATGTTAATAAATGTGATGAAATATATTTTATCTCTTTCTTCTTGTTTAGTTCTTGAAACTAAAATTATAAAAAGAGTATCATGTTAAATCTTTCATTTTTCTTACACAGGAGAGAAAATAAACATTTTCAATAAATGTGATATTTTCCATTACATTTGTTTTTGTAATTACTATAATTTTTTTGATCCACTAGAGTTTAGAATAAGTAAATTTATAAAGCTTTTGATTTAAAAGAAAACTGTTTGTTTGACATAACTTTGAATTCTGTTATGTTTTATGTCTTTCTTTTTTAAGATTTTAATGAAACCTGAAAAAATTTATTTTTAGATCCACCAAGTGCTCCAGGTATTCCTCGCTTTGTTGAATCATCTGAAGATTCCATTACTTTATCATGGACCAAACCTCGTAATGATGGTGGAAGTCCCGTCACTGGATACATCCTCGAGAAACGTAAGGCTGGTGATGAAAACTGGACTAGAGCATCAATGGCTGTTATACCTGACCTTACTTACCGAGTTAGTGGGCTTAAGGAGAACTGTGACTATGAGTTCCGTGTGTGTGCAGTAAATGAAGCAGGACCTGGTCCCTACAGTTCAGCATCTGATAGTATTAAAGCACGGGCACCACCTGGTAAAGAAATTTGATTCTTTAAACCTTTTGATTCCTAAGCTATATGTTCAATTTCAAGCTGAATTTATGTGTTAAAGAATCTTATTTAATGTGAACATTAAAAATGCAAAAATAAACTTATTTTAATTTATGTATCTGTATTTCTGTTAAAACTATTTAAAGATGAAAATACATGTAATAAGACCAAAAGCCTTTATATATTTGTGATTATTTGAGAAATTGTGTGCCACTGACATGTGGGAGTTTCAATAATGGTATCACTGAAATAATATCACATAGAAAGTCCGAAACTTCCTGACTCTTTTTGTGGGGTATAAAGTAATTTGATTAGTTAGTTATTTACATGTAGATATTTTTGTTATGGTAAGTGAAAAATAAGATTCTATATAGATCAGCCATGAAATTTTTTTTTCAAATTGGAATATCGAAACAGGTAAAAATGTTATAAAATTGCTGTCATATTCCAATATATAACTTCAGAAAGAGCTGTTGTAAGTCTGATTTGAATCTTTCATCAATTTTTTAAGCTTGTGAAGTTACATTTACACTTATTAGCATTGCAGCTGTATAACTTTTTAGATTTTTCAAAATTGCTAAACAGTTCCTGCACCATTAATTTAAAACTTCTAGTAATGCATGGCATTTCGGTTTTTCGTACTTATCTGTTCAAAGGAGAAGAACAATGTCATAAGCCTTGCAAATAAACATGTAGGGCTATAGTTCTCAACTTTTGGTTAGATTAAGAATTCACTTTGTTAATTATGATATTTATTACTTAGAATCTGTACAATAAAAATTGTTGTCAATGTTGTCCCTAAACGTTATGTTACATTGGATTGTCAATATGGTTTCACTAAGGGAAAATCTTGCCTTACAAATCTTTTGACATTCTTTGAAAAGGTTACCGCTTATGTAGATGAGGGTAAGGGTGTAGATTTGGTGTGTCTGGATTTTCAGAAAGCATTTGACTAGGTGTCACATAAAAGGCTTGTAAAAATAAATTATCTCTATAGGTGTGGGGGATAATTTAGCAAATTGGATACAAGAGTGGCTGGATGGAAGAAAGCAGAGGGTTGTTGCAAATTGAGTTCAGTCAAACTAGATTAATGTCACAAGTGGGGTACCTCAGGGCTCAGTTTAGACACTTTTCTCTTTTTGATTTCCATCGATGACATGGATGAAAGAATAGTCAATAAATTTGCTGATGATATTAAGGCCTTGGGTGTTGCTAGCTGTGAAAAGGATGCTGCTGATCTACAAGAGGATTTAGATCATTTAGTGAGTTGGGCAAATAAATGGTAGAGGGGTTTTAATTATAATAACTGCAAGATAATGCATGTGGGTTTTCATAATTTGAATGGGAATAACCTTAACAGTGTCATGAAAGAAAGGGATCTTGGTGTAATAGTTGATCAGTCTCTTCCAAGCAGTGTGCTGTTGCTAGTGGTAGGGCAAATATTGCATACAAGTTTAAAGAGGTTATAATTTCATTGTACAGGTCACTGGTTAGGCCACATTTGGAATAATGTGTTCAATCTTGGGCTCCTTACCTTAGAAAAGACATTGAATTGTTGGAAAGGATTCAGAGAAGGGTTACTGGAATGATGCCTGGAATGGAGGGGTTGTCAAACGAGGAGAGGCTGAAATATCTCAAATTGTTTTCTCTTGATTGGGGTGTTTAAGATTGTAAAGG